CCACCTCCTCTACCCACCACCTCTTTCTCCTCTACAGCCCCTAATTGTTCCTCCAACCCTTCCTCTCTACAGCAGAACCCTCATCTCTCCTCCCAGCCTGTAATGGTGAATTCTGTGTCACGCTCTCACCTTCAAGCACAACAAAGCCAGCAGCTGTTTATCAGCTTGTCCAATTCTCAACCTGAAATTCAGCAAAACAGCCAGACGGCTCCAGCTGCACAGGGAACAGGTGGGAAAATCTTTTGTGTTAGGTTTTTTGTTTGTGACCAGTTAACCTTGTACTGAATCAGTGTGCTACATACATTTTTATAATTACAATGCTAATAAACTATGGGAAGAATAACTTTTCTATAGTTTTAATGGGATTCTCCTTGCTTTACCAGGTTTGTTGTCATCTCAGGTGACCAGTAATCAAGTCATTCAACCTTCACAAGGTATAGTATTCAAGTTTTTTATTGTTTGCAGTCGCTAACTAGCAGGGTTTTAGTGTTGTGCACAAACTTAAGCCGATCGTTACTGAAGCTCTAACCAGTTTTTCCAATAATTTGAAACTACATATAAACAGTAGTTAAATTAAGAAACTGCAGAGGAACTATTTTTTTCCCAGTTACAAGACACATTATCTGTAGTAAGTTCCATTGCAGTGTTTCCCACAGGACTGGAGCTCATACATGTACATGCATGCACAATGCACGGAAATCCACACTTTTGGAAATGATTTACCGTAGAGTGCACTCACCAACCACTTCATTAGGTGCACCTGTTTAGCTGCTCATTAAAAGTAATTCTTGTTTTTGGTACCTTCGTGCTTTCTCGTCAGGATTGTCTCACGTGCCAGGTATGCTGTCACCTCATGAGCTCCTCCAAAAGCTCCAGTTGGTCCAGCAGGAGCAGAGCCTGGCCTCTAGTGAGCCACCCCGGATCTGTCCAGGACTGGCTCCTCGATTCCTGGGGCCAGCCCAAAACCAGGGTGCATGTGTGATTTTAGGCACAATCCCAAACCCAACTGCAGCCACTGCAGGTCAGAAAGCTGCGCTGCAGTTACAGGTAAAGCCCAGTGTAAACAGTTAGTAGTTGATTTTATCAATTATATAAACAGAGCAAATGGCAAATGCTAGTTAAATTGGTGACTTGATAGCTGCAACAGTACAGTGCTCCCTGTCTGTGTAGGTGATCTCGCCTCAGAGGATACCAGCCACTGTTGCCCCAAATCTGCTCCTTTCCCCGAGTATGTTCACTCAGACAAAGCCTAGCAGTGGGTTGTCTGCAGTTGGTCAGGAGAGCTCCCACACACCCTCAACTGTGCCCAGACCCCCTCTGCAGGAGGAGGTCAGAATCCTTTCCAGAAGTCAGCTTCAAGCCACACTGCTGCATCTGATACAGGTGATTATTCCTTAAAGTTTGTGGTCTATTATGGCTTCACAACGGGGCTCGCTGTCCAGTTGTTGTGCTCACGTTGTAGCCAAATCAGTGCAGTTGTTTTGTTTGCAAAGAGAAAAACAGAGAATAAGCAAAAACAAACACACACACTTGAGGATTTTGTATGAAGTTGCCTGCTTGTGTATTTCAGACCGACAGCTCATTCCTGGACTCCATCTATGAAGCCTATGCCAGCCGCTTTGCTAAGGATTCCAGCAACAAGTATTGATGCAGCTTCACACCCTCGTTCTACACACGCACCCTTCCCGGAGGCTACTTCTTACACCTCATATGGATGCACCACTTCCTATTCCAAATCACACACACACGTACTTAAACACACACTCTGTACCTCCTCTGCACTCTATCGTTAGGAAGCCTGACTCTGTTTGCTCCAAGCCAAGTCTCTTGTTGCACAAAGCTATCACAAGTAACATCATGTTCAAAAAAAATTTGGTTTAGTCTGTTGAATACAGATTTTACCCTTGACCTCACCCTTTGAGTCTTTAGCAAAAACAAAACATGCTGCAAACCTTCCAGTTTTCCAGGATGTTTCTGATACTCTTTCTTTTCCAGTAAGTGTAGCAATATTTCCTTTCAGTCAGTTGTCTCACACCAGCCAGCCTTTAACAAACAAGTCTTCCTAGTCTAGAGCTAAAAGACATCTTCAGATATTATTTTAATCTCTTATTATTTTACTTGGGCATAACAGGTTTGTGTATTTTACCACCAGCAGGTTTTTAAATCTGTTATTACATTGTCGTGATGACTTTTATTCCTATCCTTTTTAACAGACACGAGCAGTGATACGTGTCTACATTGTAATTTTAGTTAACTAACTGTTGTCAGCTGGTGCATATTGAAGTGAACGAGCAAGCCTGCGGCATAACTTTAACCGGCAATCGCTGAAATTGTGAAGGAAAGAAAAGGGGGGTTTTTTTTGCAGCACTTTCTGAATATTATAATGTGTTTGAAGGAAAGGGAAAGGAAGGAAAACGTCAATGTCAGTCCAGCTTAAAAAGACAAGAAAATTACAGGAACCTGACAACCTGCACTACCTCACAGAGAACTAGTTTGGAGGTATACCTGTGTTTTAAATCAAGTGGCATAAAGGTTATTGGTTTACGTCGCATAGTAAGGAATTTGTGTTCGCTTTATGTAAAGAGATTTCAGAAAATTAAATATCACCTAAGCTGATAAACGGTTCTAAACAAATGAAGCCTAGAGTGGTCTATTAATATGATTTAATAATCTGAAGCTTAGAAAATTTGGTTAATTAAATCATCAACAGCAACATTGTTAATTGTTCAGGTTTGTTGTAGACCCCGTTGGAGATTGAACATAAAATTTAAAAGGTTTTATTGCATTTGCACAATACTGTTAAACTACTTTTGCCATGTAAAGTGATGTTTCTCATTCAGCACTTAAATTGCCTACATTTTTTCAGAGTCCGGGTTTTTAGTTGGTAATTAACGTGCGTGTTAAACTCATAGCCAGCCTGGACAGTAGCTACCAGGCAGAAGCAGCAGCAGCAGCAAAAGCAGAGAATATCATTCAGGAAAAAAAGAGGAAGATTTTATTCCCTATTTTTTTACTCAAGAAGAAAATTGTACAAATAACCAGCATGTATTTAAAGGTATATCAGAATGTAAAGTTTAAGATTTTACAGCATATTGTCAGATGCTGTTTTAATTCAAAACTCATCTGTACTGTTTCTGTAACCAGAATATTAAAATGTTTCTATGGGCTTTTTTTTTTTTCTTTTTGGCTGGGATGTTTTCCCATTACATAAACTGGAATATATTTTTATTGGCTATTAAATGTTAAAAAAAAACCTGTGTCTGTTGTTGTTTTTTTGTTGTCCTCATATATTTGTTGGGCACAACCTGAAGTAATTTCAGTAAATTTACGCTCAGCAGCCACTACATTAGGTGCTCTAGTTTAACTGCTTAGTAATGTAAATATCTACTGTAAATAGCCAATCACAAGGTGGGAACTGAATGCATATTGCCATTTGGACATGGTCAAAAGGACTTTCTGAAGTTTAAATTGACCATGAGAATGAGGAAGAAAAGTTATTTAAGGTACATTTATTACAACCAAGCAGGATCCAACTTTGATGGTGGCTCAGCTCACTTTTCTATTTCATTACAAAAAAAGATGAGGGCAGATTAAAGTTGCCACCTTTACAGCCTACACTACAAATTCAAGTATAAACAACTATCTGACTGCACCATGAACCAATGTGTATAATAATTATGACCTCACAATACCCTGTTAGCAAATTTGTTTTATGTGAGATCATGCTTTAAACATAACCTTATCTCAAACTTTGTTCTAAATATGAGTTCGCTGTACTCAAATGGGCTCCACAGTCACCAGATCTCAGTCCAATAGAGCACCTTTGTGATATGTTAAGGCACATCTGAAGGCAAAGGGCGCAAGCTTTGTACAAGCAGTGTGTACCTAGTGAAGTGTATGGAACAGACCAACCTCGATCATACAGCGTGAGTTTTTTTAGTAATAAATTGCTCCCTGTTTTTGACGGTTAACTAAAGACACAGTAAAATACAGTTTAATAAGGTTTCTGGCATCAGCGTAATTTTAACTGGAACGCTGGAACATTTGGTCGCACTTTCAGGGCTTATGTATAAATCACGTCCACATCAGCACAGGAAGTACCCGCTTAATGGATGTTGTGTTTGTGAAACTGCTCTTGCCTTCAAATGGCAATTTGATCATTTCATTATACATAAACTCAGTGTCCCAAACACTCAAGACAAAAACCTGTGCAGGTTTCACAATGCCATAAGCCGTGTACATAGATGAGAAGTAGATTTCTTGTATAGAAATGCAAATGTAAACAAAATCAGCCTGCAGATTTGGATCATGTGATATGGCTAAAATCACCAGAACTGGCACCGAGTCTGCTTTCACAAGTGCTATTTACTGTCAGGAACGTCAAACATCACTTTTTACACAGGCTCATTGCGCTCTCCCTCCCAGTAGATTAGTGTGGGAAAACTAGGCTTCCTCTCCTCTCCCTTCCTGCTTCCTCTCCTCAGCCAGCCTTGTCATGGATTCTACTTACCATTAACTTCAGTAGCGGTGTAGCAGAGTTAAACTTTGATTCAAATAAAAGACTTAATGGTGATCTTTGTGAATGTCAGGGTGGATGGATAATATTTTTAAGACTTTTTATGAGTACATTTTTATTAAGGGATGATGCCCATACATGCACACATATTCTTTTTTCTAAGACTCGGAGGTTCCAGACCATTGCTTTAGCTGATGGAGCTAAATGTAAGGGCTGACTATTAGCCCTGGCCTAGAGTAATCAATGACTTCTGGTGTGTGTGTGTGTGTGTGTGTGTGTGTGTGTGTGTGTGTGTGTGTGTGTGTGTGTGTGTGTGTGTGTGTGTGTGCGCCCTTGCCCAGAGAGGCGGAGTCTCTGATTTGTATAGGGACTCCAGATCACTTTTGTCAGTGCTGTATTCTCAAAAGGAAGATATTGTGCAGTGGTCTACTTTAAATTTCAAGAAAATATTCGTGTAATTCTTCTCACTTTCCTAGTCTCAGTCTTTCACTCTTCCAACACAGGTTGGGACAATAAGCCAACTCTGCAGGAGCACAGGTGAGTAATACTTTCTTTGGGGATATCTGCTCTAGTACCGTAGTGTTAGTAGAAGTGTGTTTAGCATGTAAATCATAAAGTAAGGATGCCAAGCTACATTTAAAATTGAGATTAGAAAAAAAAGGAATTTTTTGATAGAAAAGTGCATTTTATAAGACCTTCAGATTCCTTTATTGTCATATGACATTTAAAACTGAGCCAGGAGCTAACTCGATTAGTTAACTAAAGAAGAACAAATGGTAGGTTCTCCAATAACAAAAGTCTCACTTAAATAATAAATATACACATATTCTCTCTGATGTACACTTGTGTGCTGCCTAAATCCCTGCATTTCCGAACTGTGTGAACATGCAGTTAAATGCAGTTAGTTGGCCTCTGCACACCACCACAGTGGACTTTAAATCAAAAAGCAAGATATGACTGAAGTGCAGACTTCCAGATTTAATTCAAGGAATTTATCAAAAGTATTGCATAAGCTGTTTAGGAATTTCAGATGTTTTTAAGCCCCTCCCCCATTTTCAGATACACATTATTCTGGTACAAGTGAATTGTGGATTCATCTGTCCAATTTCCTGAGCATGCTCACTTATAGGTTTTCTGGCAAAGACTAATTTAGCCTTCCTGTTCTCGAGTGTAACCAGTGATTTGCACCCTGTTGCAAACCACTCTATTTCTATTCATGAAGCCATCTCTCGATTGTAGACTCCGATTGTAGACTGATGATACACCCACCTCCTCAAAAGTGTGTTCTCGACTAGGTTAGCTGTTGTCCGATCATCCCCTTTAGTTTCAGAGCTTAGACTTCATCCCTAGCATCAGTGATCTGGGTCAGCTTGGGAGTAGGAGTCCCACAGCTGTTGTGCACTACTGGTGTGCGTGCGTGGTTGTACATGGTACTTACATGCTTGCCTGATTGCCTCTGTGTGATGGTGCATGTCGCTATCTAAACTGTTTGTTATCAATTTGATCCCTTCCTGCGTCCACCGCAGCCATAATGCTTTATGTGCACTGCCAAATTGTTTTATAGCATTTTCATAATAGCAGGAGCAGATGTTTTACTGTCGCTCTCTCTCGGTGGGTGTGTACAGTATAATATGCAAAGACATGAGAGTTTAATATCTGTGTATCGTAGCAGTATTTATCTCAAGCTATATGTTGGTGCATGTATGTAGTTAAATAAAGCTTAATGATACATTATGTTTTATTAGAAATACTGATTCATACTGAAAGATATAGCATCCTGAGTGGACTTCTATGAAAAGTTGTAATACCACAAGTGCAGAAGGGTGCTGTGTTTATGACCTGCCCGAATTATATACGCATACATGCACTGGCCTCTTTGTTACTATGATTGCTACTACTGCGCTGGATCCCTTTAGCTTTCAGAACTGCCCTATTCTTCAAAGAATAAATTCAAAAAGGTGTTGGAAACATTCCTCAGAGACTTGAGTTCTTATTGACATGATAAATTCAACTTCCCATTCCACCACAACCAAAAGATGCTCGAATGGATTGAGATCTGGTGGCTGTGGAGGAAATTTGAGTACAGTGAATTTATTATCATGTCAAGGAAATCAATTTAAACACTTTAAGCTCTGCAACGTGGTGCGTTATCCTGCTGGAAGCAACAATCAGAAGATGGACACACTGTGGTCATAAATCAGCAGCAATACTCAGGTAGGCTGTGGTGTTTAAATGATGCTCATTTGGTACTAAAAAGCTCAAAATGTGCCAGGAAACTATCCCCAGCACTATTACACCACCAGCAGCGGCATTAACCTTTATTGCAAGGCAAGATGGATCCATGCTTTCTTGTTGTTTATAGCCCTACCATACAAATGTCACAGCTGAAATCCAAGACTTATCAGACCAGGCAACAGTTTTCTAATGTTCTGGTTTCCAGCTTTGGTGATCCCATGCAAACTGTAGCCTCAGTTTCCTGTTTTTAGCTGACAGGAGTGGCCCGGTGCTGCTGTAGACCATCTTCTTCAAGATTTGATGTGTCGCACATTCACAGATGCAATTCTGCATACAGCAAAGACCGATTATTTGAGTTACTGTTGCCTTCCTGTCAGCTCTAAGTAGACTGTCCGTTTTCCACTGATGTCTTGCATCAACAAGGCATTTTCGCCCTTATAGGTGCTGCTGCTCAATTCATATCTTCTCTTTTTCAGACTATTTTCTCTAAATCATAGAGATGGCTACATAAGCAAATCCCAGCAGATCAGCAGTTTTTTTAAATACTCACTAACAACCATGTCACATTCAAAGTCACTTAAATCACCTTTATTCATTCTGATGCTCAGTTTGGACTTCAGCAGACCATCTTGACCATGTCTACATGCCTAAATTCACTGAGTTGCTGCCATTTGATTGACTTATTAGATATTTGCATTAAAGAACAGTTAAGTGTAGTCTGTAGCTGGCATGTTGTTGGTATGCATGTTGTTCCCCTGTTGTCTTTCTTTAAATTAATGTCCCTCTTGCATGAGTGTCCAAACACAAAGATAAGTGGTTGGTAGACTACCATATTTTTTTATTATAGGTAATGGCATTGGATACTCTATACATAAAACATGTGATGACAAACTGAAACAAATTGTTATCAGTTTTATAGATCATACTCCATAGGCTTGTTTATAAATATGGGTAATGTGGCCAATCAAATTTTTACTGAGGCAGTAGTGTGTGCCGACAATAGACCTTTTTAAACTGCAGCAACTTAACAGGCCATTCAAGGGTGGCTGACAATGTACAGTGTGGGCCATTTATATGGATACACCATAATAAAATGGGAATGGTTGGTGATATTAAAGTTCTGTTTGTGGCACATTAGTATATGTGAGGGGGCAAACTCAAGACGGGTGGTGACCATGGTGGCCATTTAGAAGTCGGCCATCTTGGATACAACTTTTGTCCTAGCTTCATTCAGCAAGAGCCCACAGCGTAGCACTCGCCACATGTCACTGGAGAGTGGCATTAGTCGAACATCCCTTCGGCGGATATTAGCTACTCACAAATGGCACCCTTACAAACTCCAGCTACTGCAGCATCTCAGCGAGGATGACCCAGATCGGCCCACAGAATTTGCAGAATGGGCAAAACAAAAATTGGAACAGGACCCTCAGTTCAGAAGATTTTGTTCAGTGATGAGGCAAACTTTTATGTGAATGGTGAAGTTAACAAACAAAATCACCGCTATTGGTCTGAAACTAACCCACATTGGATGGATCCCTCCAAGACTGTTGGAACAACAAAAGTGATGTTTTGGTGTGGTATATGGGGTACAACGATAGTGGGTCCATTCTTCATCAATGGAAACCTCAAGGCCACTGGATATTTGAAATTGCTACATGATGATGTGTTTCCCTCTTTATGCACTGAAGCTGGCACGTTCCCTGAGTTATTCCAGCAAGATGGTGCACCACCACATTATGGGTGCCAGGTCCGAGCATTCCTACATGAACAGTTGGAAAGTGGATTGGTCGTCGTGGGCCAGTTGAATGGCCCCCAAGGTCTCCCGATCTGACCCCCTTAGACTTTTATCTTTGGGGTCATCTGAAGGCAATTGTCTATGGTGTGAAGATATGAGATGTGCAGCACCTGAAACTACGGATACTGGATACCTGTGCTGGCATTTCTCCTGCGGTGTTGCTATCAGTGTGTGAAGAGTGAGAGAAGAGGGTTGCATTGACAATCCAACACAATGGGCAGCACATTGAACATTTTATAAGTGGTCAGAAACTTGTAAATAACTCATGAAAGAATAAAGTTACGTTGAAACCAAGCACACTATTGTTTTTCTTGTGACATTGCCAATAAGTTTGATGTGTCACATGGCCCTCTTCCTATTGAAAAAACTAAAGTTGTATCCAAGATGGCCGACTTCTAAATGGCCACCATGGTCACCACCCATCTTGAGGTGCCCCCTCACATATACTAATGTGCCACAAACAGGACTTTAATATCACCAACCATTCCCATGTTATTACGGTGTATCCATATAAATGGCCCACCCTGTAGTTTGCACCAGGAAACCCTCTCCAGACTTCTTACTGGGCTGTTTTCTGGGGTCTGAAATCTCGTCAGTGGGGCCCAGTGCTTACTTATTAAACCTAGAAAAGCTCACACAAGTAAGATTTTTAAACACCTACTGTAGTAAGTGTTTAAAAAAGCACCCTGAAAAGCAAAAAAACAAACAAAAAAACAAAACATTCATATGAGGTACAGTATTATTTTCCAGTTTTTTGCAGTGGTGTAAAAGTAAGTGATTTAAAATAATACTACCAATTTTTAAATGGGTTATAGGATGAATATGTGAATGAAAGTGTCTCTAACAGTCAAAAAAGAACTATGAGAGCATACTTGAAAAATGTGCTATATGGACATGGACAGAGCTGATGGATTCATTCTGCAATATTGTGAATGCATGTGTGCACGTGTATATGTGAGACAATGAAAGTCCACTAGGTGTCTCAATGTGTTTGTATTATGATTGTGTCAGTTAAACGTGTTCTTTCCCCTCCTCTTCCTCTCAACATCCCCTTCTTGTGTCCCCCCTTACTTTGTTGAATTCTTATTATAGCCTCAATCCACTGTCCTTTTTGGTTAAAAATAATAATAATAATAATAATAATGAGGGAGATTAAGAGAAAGCATTGAAAAGACAAAACAGCAGGTGAGAGCCTGACAAGAAAGATTAAGAGAAAAAAACAGAGAAAAGCAACTAGAAAGAAAAGAAAGAGTAGAAAGACAGTGGGTCAAAGAGCGATACAGAGAAGATGAGGGCCAGAGAGAGAGAAAGATTGTGTTGGTGTGCTTGTATGGAGAGAGAGAGCAAGAGGCATGGAGTGGGAAAAGGAGGCAATGAGGGAGGAGGGGTTTAATCCTGCATGGATTATGGTATAAACTGGTGCTGGAGAGGAGGAAGAGAGATTCTGGAGAGAGAGGAAGTCCCACTATCCATCCGTGCATCCATTAGTCCATCTGTCTTACCCTCCATCCAGCAGCGTAGTCGTCTCCCCGTGCTTTTTGTTTTGCATTTTGGACCTGTGAAGACGTGAGGTCAGCACAAGGGTCGGCAGAATAATTGGAAGTTGCAGCAGGGTTGGATTTGTTTTTGGAATCTGTGCTTGTGCCTTACCTGGAAGAAACAAAATCACACTGCCCGATAATGGAAGTTGTGTGAAGACTGAAGTTTACTCCTATTTTTGTCGGATTGTGCTGATCCGGAGAGCAAGCAAGAAAAACAGACGTCAATAATGGGGGGGACAGAAATCAGATTAAGAGCCTTGGAGAGGGAGGCGTAGAAAAATGGAGATGCTCTATTGTGATCCCATGTGCACAGAAGTGACCTTTGACACTGGAGACAAAAGCTTTCTAGTTTCTTTTGTATGCCGGGACATCCAGCTCAGCTGACATCGAATCATCATCATTCACACTTGCTATGTTTCAACTTTCTTCCTTGACCTACATACTTTTTGGTTCTTTTGTGAGCTCTGAAAATATGGGTTTACTGAACTATTTTCTTAATTTTGTGTATTAATATTCCAGCTTTTAAATTGGGCATCAGATGGCATCTTTGTTTTCACTTGGAAAGAAGGTTTCACGTTCTTTCCACATGAGCCCAAAGTCAGTGTTAACTGTAAATGTTTTTAAGATGGCATATTTAACCTATAGTCACATGCCCATGCTTTTCTATTTTTTGCTATCCTTTCGGTTTGGACTTTCACAGATTCTCTAAATGTTACTATGGATCTTTACATATTTTAGCCTGCTTGGTGACAAAGCCAGCCTCTTTTTTCCCGTCTTGATGGGCTTAAGATTTGGACTATACATGACTGTCTTTCAGAAGGCTGTACACTGGACCTTGAGATTTTTTCTGAACAAATAATCTTTCAGGCAAGTAGTCAAAAAGATCTTGAAAGCAAGTTCTTTGTTTTGCTCTTTAAGATGAGTTGGTGTTGTGCTACAAAGTGATGACCAATATTTTATAATGAAAAGAGTGATACATATGTGTCTGTGACCAAAATTCTGCCATAACTTACTGCACTTTACTTCAGTTTAATAAAGTTTAAATGCAGCTTTTGACTAAATGGGGTAGTTCATCCCAAAAATCATATACATGCAATTGTTTTGTAGATAGAGACTGAGTATAACAGAACTTGGTGCCACTCACCTTATAGCACTTGAAGTGCCATTAAATGCATCTGGAAAACTCATCATTCATCACGCATCAAACTCAATACAACCCCAAAACGTTTTTTAGCATTGTTATAACGAAAAATGAATACTGAGCCCTTTCAGGTGAACCCCCAAAGGAAGACACAAATCCCCTTGGAAGGGCATCCAATAACCAGTTTGCCAAATCAAACCCACCTTCTGAGTACAGAATTGGTCCGGTCTCCTAAAACAGTCCCAGTTTCTCATGTGGCCCCTTGAGAAAATTAATTGAACCATTCCTGATCAAGACGTACATTAGTTTTACTGTGTTCGCAAGGTGATAACAGTTCAGTGATGTGCATGTGGTAGTTGGAATTTTTTGTATTATAGCTACAAGACTTTACAGAAGCAATAATACTCTGTGCTTTTGTGCAACTCCAACATACATGACTGGAATATAGTTCAATTAGCATGCACAAAAGAGTCAACAACCTAACTTGACAGAGAGTGATCTAGGTATAAATGATAAATGTTCATATAAAGATGTTATTACTGCCATAAACTAGCTAAGACACAGCCTGTAAGTGGTGCTGCAGAACCTGGCTGGCCTAATTCTGTTACTTTTAAATATTCCAAAGAAGGGAGGAAGTTAATGCTAATGGTCACCCTTTTTTCACAGTTAATGAGGTCGATGTCGGTTAGAGAAGGTGCATTGTGTACCACCCTGTATGTGTAGATCTGTGCCAAGACTTCAGGTTTCTCTCTCTGTGGGTTTCTAAATTTCTAAATTCATGCTTTTTCACTGTTCTGATTTCCTCAATTTCTCTCCAGCGTACGGCAGCTGCAGGGATGAACTGCTGGAGTCTGGGAAAAGCTAGGAATGCCATTAAATTAGACAGAAGTGGGCCATACAGCGGGAGGCTGATGATGCTGATGTGGATTATCCTCTCCAGTTCACTGTGCCTCATGACTGATGGTCAAATGAAGATCTCACCAGAAACGTAAGTAAAACTGCGCTAGAAAAATAGACAGTTGACTGGTGTCTGGTGTTTGCATAAAGCTGCATTTATTCTGAAATTAATTTCATTTTTGCATTTGTTTTTGTTTACATATCCATATCATGGCTGTATCCTGAATCACAGTGGCACCCAGTGTGCTGCCATTCAGTGGCAAATATAGACACACAGCCTTTTTTTAAATCAGGTAATTTCTGTGTGCACACCCTGGCAGCTCTACGTGCAGTATGATCCTTCTTAAAGCCATATGTCAGATGGATGAGTCAATAGTGTTCCTTCTAGGTTGGCTGATTATTCTACATACATATGGACCATCTGGACACCTGTGGGGTACAGCGAACTGCCAAACTGTTCTCCTCTCTACAGCCACATTCAAATAATCTGACATATAAGTCTGACTAGAGATAAAGAGACATTTATTTAAAAAAAATAAAAATTACAATTTATTTTGTTAGAAAAGATTTTGTGTAGGAAAAGGCAGCATGGTGATCAAGTGGTTAGCGCTGTCAACGCACAGCAGTCACCTAGAGCCATGCTGGCAAACACCAATGCTCTGCTTATACAGATTGATGGAGTCCTGCTATGTTTGCATTTAATCATATGTACATATCACAAGGCTTGTTATTTCTACTGTAAAACTGCTTTTCAAACATGTACAATGATTGCCTTCCCATGAGAGGGATCGGTTTATATTGCGTAATGTGTTTTGCTTTCACAGAGTGTTGACTTTGTAAGACTGTGTACGATTACTGGTCAGTTTATCTCGGGTGGATATTTCTTTTTGGGACAAAATGCTGTGTTTGTTTATTCTCCAAAGGCAAGACGAAGCTCTTTCGCCTTAACGGTTTTCAACCGCCTTGCTGACGAAAGACAAGAACAGATCGATACAGTCCTGTCAGTCTGCAGTAGCCTTGTTTGTGTGTGAGCTGTGTGTTAGCAGAAGAATTTGTGTGCATGTGTGTGTGACTGTATATGTAAAAGTGATAAAAATTGAATGGGTTGAGAGAGACTGAGAAGCACAGCACTTTGTTAGCATGGATGTTGTTAATGTTTGCATAACAGGCTTTACATACTTACATCTATCGACCAAAACCATAAGGCAATGTCTGCCTGTGCAGATTAGAGTTGTATTCAGTGCAGTGTATAAGATTTGTAGTTATACAGCTTAAAGAGTTTACTGTATGTGTTGTCAGCAGTCAGGCTGGTGACGGCAGATGAAGCTCTGGGGACACCAGAGTTCAACTGTCCAACATAGGTCACTAAGCCCCAAATGCCGCACTCTGCCTAGGGAAGAAATGGCAGCAGGTCCCTTATGGCTGTGAAAGTTAACAGTGTCACGACCGGAACATTTCAGGCCAAGAAGGTCAGATCTTTATCCTCTAAGGCTATGCAACCCTAATGCCAGTAGGAAACATTGCACCTTTCTGTGAGCTGTTACTAAAAACACGTCTTTGCTCTGGAATAAACAGCATAAGTGTACACATAGATCTTTTTCTTCTTTGGGGATAAAATCAAGTTTATCTATTGAAAAATTAAGTAAGTAAAATACTTTTACTGTTCATTGAAGTTGTTTCTGCAACCTGTTCTTGATCTGACTGGTACAGATACTGGTTCGAAAATTATAGTATAGCCATTTTAATAAGTTTAATTTTAAAATAAATCATTAAAAATGCACAAATTTCCTAACCCAGTGTCAGAGGAGATAATCTCCTGCTTCAATAATATCACAATATTGTTTTATGACACTGAAACCCAAAGTTCTTGATGCTGCCTTGAAACAGGAACAGGGATCGGCAAGATTATGATTAACCAGAATGGTAATACTAAACGAAATCTCTTGAAGAAGAATATTGACAGTACAGTAGACGGCTTGCACACTGTTGGCCCTCACATTTTAAAATGAACACGCTCAAATTTTGCAATGACAATATCAACAAGTCAACAAATGATAAGCCAGTTTTCAGTACCGATGCTGGCAAGACTGCCTGCAAACTAGCAGCGAGCTGACTGACTCCCCATAGGTTAAGCCATCTGTCACATCCTGTCTGCTCTCTAAACTCTATTACCTTACCTCATTGGCATTCACACTGAGGATTTGTAGAATTGTTGCATGTTACTGAGCATAGAATAACCTCTTGACCCGGTACAATGTCTATTTTAAGTATCACCTTCAAATAATCTGCTTCACTCTGTCAGTAGTGAGTGTGCAGTAAGTGCTTAAATGTTTTGCTGTGTACATTTCTGGTCATTTCCAGTGTTTTATAATGGGTTTATTAATTTGAGCTAGTAGCTCTGTCTTTACCTATATAAGGGTATCTACCTTCCATTGATAATGTATTTTGTCTGTTCAGGGTGCAGCAGTGGGCCGTGTCATTTGGCAAAGAGATAACTGCTTTGTCCGCCAGGTACTCTGGAGCTAAACTTCTGCAGAAGGTAAGAGGCAGTTCATCTATGAAGTTACATTTTTATTAAGTATCAGCCAGGTGGGTGAGCCATTAATATTTACATTGCATTCGTCAGTATGGTAACACAGCTCATGTAAGGAGTTCAATAGGGGGGAAAAGCAGCTTCTATATGAAATGTCTCCTAGCAAGGTTTTTGGATTATCTTTTTTTCAGTAACCAGGTCTAAAACTGCACAGTAAGTCAAATTACCAGGACCACATGGCAAGCTGAAAACAAGCAAGTTATTGAAATAGACAGAAATTCCCATTCGGAGTTGGTGGAGACCAAAAACAGAGCAAAAAGGAGAGAATTACATTAGTCGGCTGACTGGTTCGGAATTTCTGGAAGGGAACATTCCACTTGGGTGGTCTCAGATTCTCATCTCTGTTTTTCAAGGATGGTGTGGTTCTGTTGGATTCATTGGGTGATGGCCTCCAACTGACTTTGGAACGGTTTCGCGGCCAAGTGTGAATCGGTCAGAATGAGAATCAGCACCTCCAAATATAAGGCCATGGTCCTCAGCCGGAAAAAGTGCCCACTCTGGGTCAGGGAGGAGTTCTTGCTCCAAGTGGATGAGTTTAAGTATCTCAGGGTCTTGTTCACGAGTGATGGGAGAAGGGAGCGGGAGATCGACAGACGGATTGGTGCTGCGGCTAAAGAGAGAGCTGAGTATAAAAGCGAAGCTCTCAATTTACCTGTCGATCTATGTCCCTACCCTCACCTATGGTCACGAGCTGTGGGGAGTGACCGAAAGAACGAGATTGCGGATACAAGTGGCAGAAATGGGCTTCCTCCGAAGGGTGGCTGACCTCACCCTTAGAGTCAGAAGTTCGGCCATCCGGGAGGGGCTCAGAGTAGAGCCACTGGTCCTTCACATCGAAAGGAGTCAGTTGAGGTGGTTCGGGCATCTGACAAGGATGCCTCCTGGGTGAGGTTCTCTGGGCATGTCCCACCGGGAGGATTCCCTGGGGCAGACCCAGGACACGCTGGAGAGATTATATCTCTCCGCTGGCCTGGGAACGCCTTGGTGTTCCCCCAGACAAGGTGGATTAGGTGGCTGGGGAGGGGAGGTCTGGGCTTCTCTGCTTGGGCTACTGCCCCCACGATCTGGCCCCGGATAAGCGGAAGAAGATGGATGGATGAATGGATGGATGGATGGATGGATGGATGGATGGATGGATGGATGGATGGAACATTCCTGCTGAGTGTTATGTATTTTCTTGCCCTTTTGAGCATGCCAAGTGAAGTGCCATTTGATTCCATTATATTCAAAATAGGACAGAAATCTCTACAACAGGCTCACCAAAATGGGGCTATTCACATCAAAACAAGTAGGACTTGATTTTATTGGGGGTGAACTGTCTATTTAATATAAAATACATTTATAAATAGAGGTTGTCAGATATCAACAAATTATTACTCATACAGTACATACTAGCCCAAGACATCATGCCCAAGTACATGTTACAAGACATAGTATGCTTCACTAATTTCCCATTTCAGACAGGCAAATGATTATTTTTAGGCTATATTTAATGATGGTTATGGTATGGTATGGTTAACATGCCTTTATTGATGATTAGTCACGCAAAAGTATACAGAGAGGAACATACAGGGAAGGTTATTTGGGGCTGAGCTCTCCCTCTACCTGCACCTCTTATTGTATTACCAGCTACACAAATATTTAAAACTAAAGTTGGAACTGGAAGCTGGGAATGGACAAAGAAATCTTACAAAAAATACAACATTATGCTGCAAAACTGAAAGGGGCAGAGTGTGAATTCGTCATTTCTCCCCCTTCTGTGCATTACATCAGCCAATAAGAACACGGCAGACTGACATACATTTGCTGTACAACATCTGCGCATGGCCTAGAGAGCAATGTGATGACACATTTAATTCAAATATTCAGGCATGCCTTTTAGTAATTAGCACGTGTGAGCTTGCACTGCATGCCACCCTGTAGTATCGCTAGCAGGTCCATTCACCATCTGCTATGCAGGCTCACAAAGTGTGTGTTAACAACGTTAACCAAACAAGCTGTACAAATAACCAATCCTTACTGATTTAGCTGTTATAAACAGTTTTCTACACTGTCCAACCTCACAGCTTGTAAGATATCAACCTGATCAAAAACAGAAAGCATTGTGGTGCTTGTAAGTGCTTCAGTTATCGCACGAGCAACACTTGCTGTAGTAACTGTATCCATAACAGCACTATTAATTTGCTGTATCTTTCCTATCTGCAAAATGTCTTTTTATTCAGCCAGTGGTGTGTAATAACAGCCAGCGCTTTAGTCTTATCCTTGCACCAAGGAGCCATAAATCATCCACCTCTGCCTAATCGATAGGCTTCTTGTTATAAGTGGAACACTTAGTGATTCTGTCTTCTTGCCTGAGTAAACTGGGTAGGATATTGAGTGTTTGGGGTTCTGTTTGACAGTTATAAACATGTTGGAGCTACAAAGAGGGCTTTTCCCCCCAAACAAACCTGCAAAAGATCCGTATATTGTGAGTTTTGCTCATTTTACATCTGTTATTTATCCATATGAGTATCTAACTTATCTTAGTTATTAGATGGATGTTGCACTGTTGCATGGGACACATGGCTTATCGAATCTATTTCCTGAGCAAATTTGATAATAATTGTAATATATTGTAATTAATGGTAATCATCTTTATAAAGGCAACAGAAAAATACAAAACAAACAAGACGGGTAAATGTCATTACATTATTTTTAGTGCAGGAAATTAACCTTTTAGTCCTTATGCAGTAACTGTATGGGATCCCTTAAATTGCATTTATCCAGCTGCTGTGATTCTACTGTGAACAAATACTATGAGTATTATTTGGCCGACTGGTTGTTGGACTAGAAAAAAGAAGAAAACATAAATATGTTTAAAAATGTTTTGGTGATCATTTTGAATGCCACTGCTATAATAACATGTCAGGATTAAGACTCGTTTTTATATCTGCCTATTATACATCTGAATTATAAATCTTTGAAAACATTACCATCACTTTGTACAAAATAGTGAGGGGTGGAGGGAGAGGATGAAGTCAGGACACCTGTAAATGCCTGGTGTGAAGGTTTGTGTATCAGGATTGTTGCCTGTACAGTTGATCTCTGTTTTCAGAGGGGACTGTTTGGTTTCGTGTGTTGTTGAAAATGTAGAAATCGTTTATAATTGTGTTTTGTTGTCTTAAAATAGTCTTGCAAAGGCTGGCACAGTGTTTTAGATTTTTTTTAAACAAATCTTTCTTTTTAAATTGAATTGTGTGTGTGTTTTAAAGAAATACAAGGATATTGAAGGTACAGTGAAGATAGAGGAGGTGAATGGAGACGAACTGGTGAAAAGGTTTGCGGAAGAAATGGAAGAGATGCTTGGGAGGAAGATGAAAGCTGTTAAGGTAATAATTATGCATGCAGAGTAAAAAAAACCTTTAATGCCAATCAACTGGGCAATCATCAAATCAAACACTGATACATGGTAAACTAGTGTAGGTTTGTGTAATGCTGCACTTTGCTAATTAAAAAAGAAAAAGAAAATCTGTAATGCTTTTATCACAGAGATTAGCAGAAGCAGCAGAGGATGCAGATCTGGACCATGAGTACAATGAAACACTCGAGGTAAGGGTGACATATCTGCTTATAAGTTTTTCATTTGTCAGCTTATACAGGATAAGAGTCCCATTGCTAGTAGAAAGCTCAGACACTGTATGTAAAAATATATGTCCACACCATGAGACCTATTGCTTTGTAACTCAAATTTTGCCATTTTTGTTGTTTGTTAGTTTTTTTTTTATGAATTGAATATGTGATTTGGATAAAAGGGCAGTGTGAGCAACTTGCGAGCTAATGCTAATGCTGGCTGAGTAGCTAGCTTGGTTAGGCCTTAGTTACCCTGTCATCGAGACTGGCTGGTGAGTCCCTGGCAACACTCTAGGAAAAATATATATTCTCCAATTCATTGTCCAATGGTTGGCTAAGTGAAATTGTTTTCAAAGAGGTATAGGGAACTACACTAAGGGCAGTAGATTGCTACAGTTGCCCAAAGTTTGCAAGGAAGAAAGTGACTCAACAATTAGTCACTGAGCAGTTGTGAAGCTGTGAAAGTTTTGACCCTAGCCGCAAACAGAGACAGATTACCTTAAAAAGTTTTGCCTCTTGTAACAACTGAAGGCAAAGCTTTTACTTTGAAGGCAAACATTCTTCATTTCCATTTGCGTTGCAGTTTTTTGCCAAGTTTCACTACTGCTCTGTGTTTAGCTGCTGAGTGTCAGAAGACAAGTTGGGGGCTTTCATGCGAACCATTGGTAACTGCAACAATCTGCTAGTGACCAAAGCAATCACAAGAAGGTTTCACAGATGTCACAGTGATAGCCAGCAACCTCCAGTAACCGCACACCAAGCAGTTAAGATTTAAACGTTTTTTTCTCTACCTTATATTTCACTGTGAGAACAAATAGGATGCTTAATTAGGCTAGCAAAAAACAAGCTCAGAAGCGCATTTTACCAGAGAAATCAAATGCCCAACCCCTCACCACCAAACGGCAAACACAAAGCGGCCCCACACTTGTCACTCAAAACCTCTGCACACCTGATAATGCATGACCATAAACCCAAATATAATTTGGCAGTGTTTTAATCACCAGTACAGTAGCTGCAAAAAGGGAAATGACCTGACAGGCATTTTAATATAGGACTCTTTGTTAACTAACCACAAACTGTATATTAAAGATGGATAGCTACTGTGAAGCCTCAAGAGTGGAGCGAGCTTCAATTTGTCTTTTAATGATCCAGTTTGTGAGCTGATTTTCAGCCCTTTTGAGAAAAAAAAATCCACAGACTGATAACTGAATTATAACCAACTGTTTGTTCTTATTGGTTACTCATGTTAGTATATATGTACAGCCACCAACTGTCACTTTTTTCTGTAGTTTGACTATTATAACTCCATGTTGATCAACACTGTGGATGAGGATGGGAATCCAGTCCCACTGGGTGGAGAATTCACATTGGAGGAAAACGAACATTTTAATAAACTGCCAGTCAACATACAGCAAAGTAACATACAAGTTCCCACAAATGTCTACAACAGAGGTAACACAACCATAAAGCCTTAAATATAATTGCAAATGCTGCATAATACACCAGATTGGCAGTAGAATATATTACCTCTCTCTGTTTTGTAGATCCTGATATTCTCAATGGAGTCTACATGTCTGAGGCTCTGAATGATGTTTTCGCTGATAACTTCCAGGAGGATCCAACTCTCACCTGGCAGTACTTTGGCAGTTCTACGGGCTTTTTCAGGCTATATCCAGGTACGTCTGAGTCACCTACACTTGGGCCAGCAAATGTGCGTCCCAGAATTGTAGCACAGTGTGTTAATTGATGGTACCCTTGGCTGCACTTTTCTCCTGTGATGATGCAGTGTTAAAACAACATGAACAGCACTGTAGATAAACATTCAGCTACATAAGCCAAACAGTGTACTGTACTTACACAGCAACTGACAGCGCAAGAAACAGTCAAACATGATGAGTCAGTCTCGGTGAGAGTCTGGCTGCTAATAAATTCTCTGTGTACATGTCTATCTGAGTGCGTGCGTTTGTGTTTGTGAGCGAGAGCAAGGGTAATTAACAGAAGATATGTGACAGCTTGTTTTACTCACCCTCTGCGTCACCCATCACAGCCTTGTTTGACAGTTTGTCATCACACAATGCTACCACAGCATTCATTTTGACATCAGTTGTTCATCCGTTCAACCAAAAAATCATCCAAGCAGGAGTTTGTCCTCTGACCATCATCTGCACTCTCTCTGTTTTCTTTCAGGCATCCAATGGACTCCAGATGAAAATGGTGTTGTCACATTTGATTGCAGAAACAGAAACTGGTATGGCGATACTGCCCTGTCCTTCCCCATTGATGCCTTTTGATTATCTTTAGCCCTCTCAAAATGAAGCTCCAAACCCCACTTACAGATCTGATCACTCCCAGTCAACAGTTACTATGCACCATTAGGCAGTCTAGTATGGTTCACCCATACTTTCCAGGTGTATTTGACTGTCTCAAGAATTCTTATCATCAGAATGGGAAAGAAGGATGATTCAAGTGTCTCTGAATTTGATATGGTTGTTGATACTAGATGAGGTGTTGAGTGTTTGGGAAATGGAGCAAGAATTATCAAGTGAATGGCAGAGGTTAGAAGAGAATGGCCAGACTGCTTTGAGCTGAGAGGAAGGGAAGAGTAACTCAAATAACCACTTGTTGTAATCAAGGTATGCAGAAGAGCATCTCTGAAGACACAACCCATTGAACCTTGAAACAGATGAGCACATCGGGTGCCACGCTTGTCAGCTAAGAACAGGAAACTAAAACGTATTTATTAGTTAAAGGGGATTTGCACCATGAATGTGCAGACAACAAATCTGTAACAACTATGTGATGCCATCATGTCAATATGGAGCAAAATCTCTGAGGAATATTTCCTGGATCTTGTTGAATCTATACCACAAAATTAAGGAAGTTCTGAAAAAGGGGGTCTAACTTTGTGCTAGTGATGTGTGACTAATGAAGTGCGGTGAGTGTACACGACAGTGCAATATGCACTGTTGCACTGAAGTAGTTAACTAGAATTCAGCCATCATTAATTTAGTGTTTATGCTTATTTCCTTGCTGCTGAAACATGTGACATTTTATTTGCTGTAAAGAGATCTATCACAAAGACAAAGGACTGTTTAGATTGTGGGAACTCTGTCTGGTTTCCAGACATAAATACAGTTGTCCTGGGAAGCAGAGATCAAGGAAACAGACAGAGTAAATCTGGAAAGTTGCCGATCACACCTGCTGCTCGAGGGGAAATCTCATTTATGTTAATTAGCTTGGAAAAATCAGGGGATGGTAATAAAGAGATGAAGGGACCGAACAGACGGACAGAGGAACATATAAAAGGATAAACACTGTCTGCTCTTCCTAGCTGCTGGACTAGCAGTACATAACACCCAATCTGGTCATACTTGGTGTTAAATGTAGGTTGTAGTGCATCTTATACCTACCTTCTTTCTCTCTATGTCCTTTTAGGTATATACAAGCAGCCACATCTCCTAAAGATGTAGTAATCGTCGTGGATGTCAGTGGCAGCATGAAGGGACTCAGACTGACAATAGCCAAGCACACCATTAATACAATCCTGGACACCCTGGGAGAAAATGACTTTGTTAACATCATAGCTGTAAGTATATGCGCAAACAGTCATACAAAAGACAAATGCAATGAGCATTTGTCTAAGTCTGGATGAGCGTGACATAGAGATTAAAGCCCAAACGCACAAATGCACTGGAACTAATGCACAGGTCAACATGGAGGTACATATGCACACACACATCCAAATTTAAAATTTGGTTCATGCCAGACTCAAATTTTCAGTAACATGAAAGCTTCTAAATTTGTTTTCTTTTTAGGTTTTTGGGGGGGATTTTGGCTGTGTGTAACCCTACAACTACAAATCTGTGTAATAAGCATGGTTTATCCTGGTATTACTGCGTGTGTAATCATACGCCTCCTGCAAATCCCCTGCTTTTAAGCTGTATTTTTTACCAGAATTTAAAGCTACACGCCTTTCAGCCGAGTGACCGTGCAGCAAAACAATACAAAACAAAAAAACAGTACTTCTTCATATCTAAACTCTGTAGTTTAAAAAATGGTTTAGTTAATTATTTTTATGAGGTCTATTCAAAATGAAACTTAGCTTTGACTTTGATAGAACTGGTCTTGAACACATTAAAATCATACTCCATATTAGTCCAACAACTTCAATATTGTTACATTATGAACAGTCAATATTTAAAGATGGTTGGTTGGAGAGATTAAGTGTAATCTAATTACTTTGTGACGTTCAGGGTGATTGACTGCAGGTCGTAAAACTGCACTAACAACTGTTTGTCCCCTGCTGCAAATGTTAATCATGTTGACTCTTCATTAGCTGCTCAGTCGCCATATTGGTTTATGTGAATTGGTTTCTGTCTCCAGTACAGTGACTATGTTCGCTACGTGGAGCCCTGCTTCCAGGGCACGCTAGTACAGGCTGATCTGGATAACAGAGAGGTAAGACACACAAGCAGCTCTTGACAAATGGCACATGCGTTCATGCTCATGGCTGATTAAGTGAATTAACCTCTTGGAATTTAATAATTCCAAGTTATCTTGCTAATACCCTGAAGACAAAGCTTATGCCGTAATCACATCACAGTTAAAGCAACCTGCCCTTTAAAGGATTTAACCAGTAAAACCCTAGAGAGCGTATGTGACTTCGGCCTCTGCTAACATATTAAGAATATCAATATTCTTCCCAATTTCCCTTCTTTTTTCCTCTCTTGAATTATTTCCATGTCTAACACCAATAATGTCATTGTTTTATTTTTCTTCTCATCCCTTTGTCCTCCCTTTTTTTTTCTAACTTCCCAACACCTGCTCAGTCTGCTCAGTCTCAGTGTGTGTGTGTTTATTTGTTGTAAGTATGCCCTACTTTCACTCCCCTCCACATCATGGCAGTTTGGGTGAGGTCGCCGGCTGCTGACAATTTTAAGTTGGTCACATGACCTGTCAGCAAGGGATCTGATTGGGTGAATACATAGGATATTCTGTAGCAGAATGGGCTTACAGATGTTGGCTGACACTCTTGCACAAGAGGGAACGCACATGTAGAGAAAGACAATCATCAGTTTTGCAGTTGTTATACAAGAGTTCCAATATTCCTACATAACCATTCACTTTTAGTCCTACTGAAAGTCACACTGGGTCACTTTTTCAGTCTTGTTCAGCTTTCATTACTGGATAGATTACTTAACACAAACCTGCAAGCCAACCATGTTAAAGATGCAGTACACAACATGCCCCAGTGAAACAGTACAAATGCAAATAAGCAAACAGTCTCATTTGTCAGAATAGCACAGAGCAGATATGTGGGATTAAATGCAATTTGCAATATTGTTGTTTTGTTAATCATACTTCACAACAATTTCAGTTATTTTGAGCATGTTTCCAATCCAATCCAAACTAATTTTATTTATAAAGCACTTTAAAATACCCAGTACAGGACCAAAGTGCTCTACAGAAAATAAGTTAAAAACAATAGAATAAAATAAATAAATAAAACACATAATACATAAAAATTAAAACAGCCCTATATTAGCAAAACAAGATAAAACAGCATAGAATCAACTAAAATTAAACTAAAAAAAAAATAAAAACCAATATCTCACATGGTGTCAAAGGCCAGGGTAAAGAGGTGATTTAAAAACAGGTAGAGAAGAAGCCTGTCTGATCTCTAAAAGTAGATCGTTCCACAGTTTTGAGTCACTTTTTTTACTAAATGTCTATATTTAAATATAATTTACAGCACATAAAATCAGTTTCACTACGCTTGCAATTATTCTTATTGTTCTAATTATTTACTATTCACATTCACAGACACAAGAGCTCCTCTTACTTGCTATTAATAGCTGCAGCCGTGTGCAGTGGTCGTGCATGTAGATGTTTGATCTGTGGTTGTATGTGGCTTTGCCAATGCTTTGTATTTCAACCCTCTCTTGCACAGAGACAATAGCAGTTAGCAGCAGTTTTTGTTCATACTAAAAGTATTCTGTTCAAATACTTTTAGTATTTGACACCAAAGAAAACACATTTCCTTTTCAGTTTTGTCATGATGTTTCACATTAAAATTTCACTTCTTCCTAAAACCGCATTTTCATATACAAGTGACTAGTTAGAGAAGTGTTTATATCCATCCTTGAGCTATGCAAGATGCAACATTTTACAGGGTTTGTCTTTTATAAAAGAAGTTCATGCACACTTACAGCTTTCTAAAACTGAGTAAAACCCTTTTACATGGTCATTCCTCCTCCTCATATGTGTATGTGAATCTGTCTTTGTTTGTGTGTTGATTAATCTTGATTACCTTCTGGTGTTGCAGTAGCTTTGGTGTTAGTGGTCAGTGTGCCAGGAAGCCGGGGATAATCTCTCTACTGCGCTCTCTTTTTTCTGTTGTGACTAATTCGGCTGCGTTTGCCCGAAGGGAAGCGCATTGGCTCACTGACAGTGTCTGTGTGTTTACTTTTCTGGGTCTCGCTCCAGCATTTCAAGCTTTTGGTGGAACAGCTTCATGTGAAAGGAGAGGGCAAAGTAAAAAAAGCAATGAAGGAGTCTTTCAGGATTCTCAATGAGGTTTGTCTTTCCTTGCCACAATCATAGCAACTGCTACCCCTTGGCCGTAATAATTAAAGTTATTTAGTTATTTAGGAATTCCTACCTCCACTATACACAGAGCTTGAGTGGAGATTTTTAAAACTGATTAAACTGGATGTGCATATTTATGTGTTTAGGCTACTGCACTGGGGCAGGGCAGCCTGTGTAACCAGGCAATCATGCTGATAACAGACGGAGCCATGGAGGACTTCCAAGATGTTTTTCAAGAGTTTAACTGGCCAGAACGACGGGTATTATAAAGACCAGCACAGACAAATATCATCCTTTAAAAGCTGTAGTAGCTGAGTATTAAATTAGCGTGGCTTATCACGCCGTACTACATATAGCACTTGACTTTCTCTCCAGGTTCGGGTGTTCACCTATCTGATTGGACGGGAGATGACGTTTGCTGAAAATGTCAAATGGATTGCCTGCAACAACAAGGGTAAAGCCCAGTGTCTTTAAATTTGATGGCTTTGTTTGTGTTGTCACATTTGTTTGTACTGACAAATCCTTCATAATCATTACAGGAAGACAGCAACAGTAATAAATTGAAGATTAAAGAATATTTTTTTTGTAAAAAAGAATAATTTTCTGAATCTTACGAAACCCCTGGTGCTCCCAAAAGAGGTGTGCTGGCCCTGTGGTGATTCCAGGTGGCACTATGAGGAACTAAGTATCAGGTGCTGCCCTCTTGTGAATTACAAGGCATCATGCAGCAGCTTAGGAAATAATCACATTAGCTCCTTCTAGCATATTAAAATCCATGGCTAAATAACTGATAATCAGCACAGATACACTGCAAACATATCCCTGGCCAAAAATGTCATAACTGTGTCTCTATAACAGGTGCAATCCATTTTGTTGCATAAACTGATAGTTGCTTCTACTAGCAGGCAGATATCTGTCAAACAGATATTTTGTTGCTGTTTTCTTGCAAACAGCTTCTGCTTAAACCTTTTGGATGCAGTTTCAGTTTGCTTAATATTGTTTGCACCAGCGCTCTTGGGAGATGTTACCAAGGGGAAATATGTTGCACGTATTCACTTGGCAGAGCTTCAGTAGCCTGTTGTCGCTGAGCAGCTTCACTGCAGGTATCCCACTGACGTCACTGTCTCCCACTTGTAGAAATGCCACAAACCTTAGACTAAGCCAAGCTTTAAAGAACGTCAAAAACATATTTGTATCAGTTGGAGATTCAAGCTGGGATATTTGTTTCATGTTTTGGAATACAGGGTGTTCTGATGTCTGATAAATGAGTTTCTTCTTCTAAATTTAATACCCAAAGGCAGAAACCTGAGTTAAAAATAATAGGTGAACAATTTATTTTCCAAAAACTAAAAAAGAAAAAACGCTTCTCAGTTTTCCATCTGAGTAGTTTATGATACGAGTTACAATACATGTGTGTCTTTTCTGTGTCTTCTGCAGGTTATTACACACATGTCTCAACACTGGCTGATGTCCAGGAAAACGTTATGGAGTACCTCCATGTTCTGAGCCGGCCAATGGTCATCAACCACGATCATGACATCATTTGGACTGAGGCCTATATGGACAGTGTGGTCAGTCTGCTTGTCTTATTATTGTTGTTTAATATTATTATTTTTGTCAAAATTTAATAAATGAACTGGTTTTATCTTTGTTTAATATTTTTTGATGATTTGAAACATGTGAGTGTAGCAAATATGCAAAAACTAAATATATAAAGAGAAATGAGGAAGGAAGCAAATATATTCACATATTCACTTAATTCTGAATATTTAGACTATGGTCATTATAAAGAATGCAGATGTAAAGCACCACCTCCCTGGCACATTTATTACATGTATTTAATATTAAACTTTTTTTTTTCTTATGAATTTATGTTTTCCTCCCTTTCATTTGGCCACAGAAATATTACATTGTAATTTGACAATCTTACTGGAGGTGTTATTCTTTAGCCATTCATGTGTGCTTTTTCCCTCATTTACCATTAACTTCAGTTGCCAAGTACAAAAAAGGTAATTGTATGTGGAGCTAGCTTTAGAGCTTTAGCTAGAAAAAGAAAATAAAGTGTAGCATTTGTAACGACATGCTTAGGTTTTGTCTAGTTAGTGGTTGTCAGTTTATAGTCACCTCTAGTAGTTTCTTGGAGCTCCAGTAGCTTTTGCTAAAGCTAAAGTTAGCTCATCCTCGAGATACCAGCTGGTCTAATGTTGTAAGTCTTGGTTTTTCATTTGAAACCACATTTCAAGTGGTTTTTCAAAATGCTTTATTATAAATTCATTTAATCAGTTTGAAATGTAATCTAAAGTGGAAAGTTTAAACTTTTTTTTAACTATACAAGCCGGTACTAGCTTTTTTAAGAGTTAGCTTGTAATTTAACAAGCTAACTCTTAAAAAAGCTAGTATCTCCAAATCACTTATTTTTTCAAACTCTGTAAACAAACCTGGATTTGTTTTTTTTTTTTTTTTTAATTAATTAATTAATTTTTTGTCCACAGGCTAACTAATTTATCTGAAAGTGTGTTTATTGTATCACAGCTGTTCAACACTCAGGCACAAAGCCTGCTCCTGATGACCTCAGTAGCCATGCCTGTGTTCAGCAAGAAGAGAGAGACTGTAAGTAGTTTTTTACAACTTTGACCTCACATTGTGTCTTTGTGTTGATAATGGTAAATTAAATTGAAATGAAATTGTGATAGATCATAACAAAAGTGGGAGTTTATATTCATAAATCTGTATAAGAAATAGGGTTAAAACCGAAGGAACCAGCCTTGATCTGCTAAGAAACAGGCTGCCTTAAATTTGGAAGCCTTGTTTGATTCAGTATTAACTTTTAAACCACAGATCAAAAAAGTCCTTTCTTCAGATCAGAGCTGGCTGCAAAATAAAACCACTGCTCTAACAGTGTGACCTGGAAAACAAAGATTAACAAAAAGTCACTCACTTATCTCCAGCTAGTTCACAATACTCCATCGAGGCTTCATGCTGTTATCATCTCAGATTTTATTTGAGCTTATTGTTTATATTTCGTTTCAGAGTGAGCGCTATTTAATGTGATTTTGATATATTTAAAATTCTAAAATTATATTTTACCTCATAAAGTTATCGCACGGGATTCTACTGGGAGTAGTAGGAACTGATGTTGCCTTGAGAGAACTGATGAGAGTAGCTACAAGATACAAGGTAAACCAGAAAGTAACACACCCTGTAACATATATGCTGTACTTCAGTACTGTCAGCAGTTTGCTTCCTTATGGCTGTCTGCTTATGGTCTTTTTATAGCTGGGTGTTCATGGCTACGCCTACCTCATCACCAATAATGGGTACATCTTGTCTCATCCTGACCTGCGACCTCTGGTACGAGGATTTTTTTGTTGGTATTAGATAATGGATTATGAGTACATGCCTCTTATTTTAAAAGCATACTCTTTTGTCTGTGTGCCTGTGCTTGTGTATGGCAGTATAAAGAGGGTAAGAAGCTAAAGCCTAAACCCAACTACAACAGTGTGGATCTGTCAGAAGTGGAATGGGAAGACAGCGAAGAAAAAGTGGGTAACATAAACTTACACGCATTTTTGACCCTTTAATTTCACTTATTTTCTTTGACTTATAGTTTAAGGTGCTGATATAGCTTAACTTTTTTTTAAGCTGAGGACCGCCATGGTTAAAGGAGAAACCGGAAACTTGTCTTTAGATGTGAAAACTTCAGTCGATAAAGGAGTGAGTAATTTTGTTCTTCAGGAATCTGTTGATGTAAAAGGAGACTTAGTGACTATTATATCAGTTATTTCCCCTTTTTGTCCCGTGTACCTCTTTTTTCAATAGAAAAGCTGCCTTTTTGTGCTCACTGTGGTGTTTATGAAGCCTGTTTTTCTTACAGAGAAGAGTGATGTTCCTGAAGAATGATTACTACTATACTGTCATCAATGAGACACCATTCAGGTTTGTCCAGTTTCTTTAAACTTTACTAAATTCCTTAAATTCTCCAGTAAAACAAAACAAAACATATAAACAAAACAAGTCTCCTTCTTACATTTTCTATATTGCCTTCTTAAAGTTTCCCACATACTGTAACGGTCTTGGCCTTCTCTGTGTTGACAGTCTGGGTATAGTGTTGAGTCAAGGATATGGACAGTATATCTTCATAGGAAATGTCTCTGTTGAGGAGGGTAAGTGTCCAATCTCTGTACATCTGCGTTTGTGTCTGGGTTTCATACACCCTGGCTTATGTCTTGACTTCTCTTCTTACGCAGGTCTTCACGACTTATTGGCTCCTGATCTGACCATAGCCAACGAGTGGTGAGTTTAACTTGCAGTGTAACAGGTTGTGAGATAGGTTGTGTTTCCCATTTTTCTACAGGGTGGTTTATCCGGTGTTCTGACAAACCGTCCTACTTTGGGAAGTTGTCCTACCCATAGGTTAATTTGACGGTGACTTCTGACAAACCCGAACACCGTCTATGTTGCACATAAAGTCAGAGGTTTCAGTGTAATTAAGGTGCTTCCTTTTTACCCTAACTTAAGATGAACACATAACCTGGTCTGGAGAAGGTTTCGGTTTTGAAATCGTTTGGTAACGCCACATTTTCATTAGACAGCTTTTATAGTAAAGTGCTGTCTAGATTATCTGATGTACTATTATTTTTTTTATAAATAGAGCTTATTCGGTCAGAGCTCATAAACTACATCAAATGAAGCTGTAAAGTTACAGCAGTGCAAACTGTATGTGTGGCATTGTCACTGGAATTTTCTTACATTCAGCATAAAACATTGATGCAGAAAATAAATGTTTTGTGTATAAATGTTGATCCTAATCTGCTGCTAAGTCCCTTTTACACTGCTGGAATTGCAGCTGCTTGAACCCAAATTAGAAGATTGATGGGTCACATTTGTAGGCTATATATCAAAGAGAACATTCAATCAATAAAATTAATTTTCTCTTTGATCTGGTAGCAGACTAATGTGATTTCCCCGGATCCTGGATTAGGAAATGGGAGAGAGTTAAATCTGAATGCACTGAGTAACCTTGTGTTTAAACGTATCAAAAATTTCATATCTCTGATCTGCAGCGGCTGCACAGTGAGTGCAAACTAATAATGTTAATAAATATGTTAGATTGAGATAATATATTTATTTTACAGCTCTGCATGCTTATGACGACTCTGAGTTCACAATTTTCAGCAGCATTAATCTCTGCCTCACTCTTAGCAGTATTATTGCATTTTACTGTTATATTCTTTATTTTCTTTATAGACATCTTATCATCTTATATTAGATTGAAATAATCACATTGAAAAAAAAAAGGTTTTGTTGTTTAATGGTGGCTGGCAAATAGCTTCTAAGGTGCATTACCACCACCCTCTGGGAGTAATAGCATGTTGCATACTACAAGGTGCCCATAAACAAAGGAGAATATATATATTTTAAGACAAGAAACAGTTGCATAAACTGTTGGTTATTTTTTCTTTCTTTCGTTTTTATTTAGTAACTTTGACTATATTTGAAAGTCCTCACCGTGCTTAATTGACATATGTGTGCGTTTGTAGGACCTACTGTGAGACAGACATTGACCCAGCACACCGCAAGCTGAGTCAGCTTCAAGCTGTGGAACGATACCTCACAGGCAAAGAGCCAGATCTGGAGTGTAAGTCGTGACTTAATGTCAAGCATCGCATGAATGCATCAATGTCAGAAGTATAGAAATGTGTGTTTAGTTGGATATTTTTTTGTTGCTGCTTCTTGGTAATAAATCTTATGCTGCTGTTTATTTCCCCCTAAATGGTGCCATTTATATTTATTAAATAAATAAATTGTTTAATTTTGCTTCTTCTTGAATTCAGTCATCTGATCCAATGAACTGCACATACAGTAAGTTATTATGATGATTACGTTTTTCATGGGTCCAGGATTTATTATGTCTTGGTCTGATTTATTGCCAAGAAGCACTGTTACAACAAAGAAATAATCAGCAAAACCAAAATTTAATACATTTTTCTGCTAAGTTTATATACCAATAAGTATATGTGCGATGTGCAGGAGTAAGCATTTAATGGTGAGTTTTGTACAACTCAGCATCAAATATGCCAGAGAATACTGAATCACAGGGAGATACTAATATGCTGGACATTAGAACAGGGAATAGACAGTAATGAGTCACGACGTGACTCGAAACTGGAAATAAACTCAGCACAAGATAGAAAACTGTAACCAAAATGAATCAGGAAGACATCTAAACAGGGAATACTTTGTTACCCCCACAAGGGAGGTAGCAAAGAACAAGTAACACAAGCAATGTTACAAAAGAAACAGCACTCAAACATACTGTAGGGTCATTCTCAAAATCCAAAAGAAACGTTAACTCGCAAAACGCAAAGCCCAGGGTCCAGAACTCAGGGACCACAGCAGTATAAAAGCACACCGTTATACTTATGTTTCCTTCTGCTTTCTCTGAACAGGTGATATGCAGCTGCTGCAACAAACGCTGTTTGATGCTGTGGTCACGGCTCCCATGGAAGCTTACTGGAACGCCCTTATGCTCAACGTATCCAGGTGAAAATGAACACAAATGTTCCTTCAGTTCATGCCACCAACTTTTTACACAGTTGGTGATTCTTATCTATACTAACATATATTTTTCCTCTTTATGTGTGTATGTGCGTTTGTTTGTTTCTCCCTCTTGCTCTCTCAGTATGGATGAGGGAATTGAAACAGCATTCTTAGGGACCCGTTCAGGGCTCATAAGGTTTCTGAGGTATGCCGGTATCGAGAAAAGAATTGGCAAGTGAGTAAGAAAAGTCCAACTGCATCTATGTTGTCATGCTATTATATCCAAAACCAAATAGAAACTGGTGTCAAAAAACCTCTATAAAAGGTTTACCTTAGACTGATGGTAATTGAAGACCTGATGATGACTTTATGCCCCCGTCTTGGTTAATTAAAGGTAAACTGAACTTAATCCCTGACACCCAGGTGGCATCTTTTGGGAGAATTTTCTGTGTAGAAACACAATTAGCATATATCCAAAACATTTGACTTCTGTTTAGGCTGTATTTGCATTTAGACATCAGGGTTTTGAGATATGACAGACACAGCTACAATCATCAATTTAAGCAAAGATGAAGATACAAATAAGTCTTCCACTACTCTCACTACTCTCTCTATTGTTCACCCTGGGGTTGCCCTCCCCCAGGCCTGTCCCTGTGGCTTCCTGTCCTGGGTTTGGGATTGGCTGTTCTCCTGCCCTGCACCCCTGTTCTTTGTTCCAATTCCGGGAATCCCCTCTATTTGTATTATTACACCTATTAATCGCAATATTGCAATATTACAAGCAATCCCAAACTATAGTCTCTTTAACTGTAATGTATATTCATTAATCTGTTATTCTCAACATTAGTAAATCCTTTCTTTAGATATATCTCTTGAAAAGCAATGGCTGTCTTGTTAAGGCAATTTAATATCACTATTTTTTTTGTTTTCCAATTTTAGTTTCCCACTTTATCCAGTTGCTTTTTTCCATGTGTCAAAGACTCTTCTTGTTAATTAAGCAATGGGTTGTTCTTTTAGCATATTTTGTCTCTCCCCAGGTCTTTCCTGACCTCCACAGACAAGGAAAATATGTTCACCCTGGACCATTTCCCAGTGTGGTACCGCAGAGCAGCTGAGTACCCAGCTGGAAAGTTTCTATATTACATGCCCAGACAAGACACTAGAGGTAGGAGGACATACCTTTACTTAGTATACACACACCCACAAAATAAAACAAACAATCAAATCCTACGAAATACTATTTATGATGGTGTTTTTTCTTTTTTCTTTTTGCAATGTTCAGCAAATTGAGTAAAGAATCCCCCATGTAAGGCTAGTTTTTGTACCGTCAGGGGGGTACAGCTGCTCTTTTCTGTTTCCCTCTATGTGTTTTAATGCAGTTTGCATAAATCCTGAAACATCATGAAACATCTACTCTGAACACCCACTTTATAACATCTTCAAGGAAACAGCAGTACTGGAAGACTCTTCTCTTTTTGTTGTAAAGTGAAGAGATACAGGAGAACATTCGCACCCACTGCCCGTATGCTTTTTCAAGTGTCATACAAATAGTAGATGAGCCCCGTCAGACATGTGAATTTCCCTAAATAAAGTTTTTCTTATTCTTATTATTCTTATTTGCATCAACAAAGTTCTTTGACTGGTTAGGAGAGATCGGGAAATGTGATTTTTATTGAGGCAAAGTGTAAAGTATTTCATCCAGCTTGATGTATATCCTAAGATATGTCTTGATGAACAGTTTTCAGCATCAGAGTGTGAAAATTAACAGCCGTGTCATCTTTGCCATCACATCATACTAACCTCATTTTTTTTTGTAGTTGAGAAAGGAAAAGTCAGAAAAAAAAGCATGCAAGTTTGAACCTGGCTTTTCCCTGCCTCTGGATTAAATTCTCTTGTTTTGCTCCACTGGAATAAAATGTATTTTTAAAGAGCTTTGAAAAATATGTTGGCATTAAAGCGATTTAGCCTGCGTCAGAGGGCAGGAATGTAAATTTAATCTCCACTACACAGTGCACAGTGTGCAGCTGGAAACACTGCTGCTCCTAATGACAGAACACAGTGGTTGTGTATTTTCTGCATCTATTTCCTTCGACTTACATGCATAGTTTTTTAAAGTTATAAAGGAATTTTAGGGGCTTTATGTTGACTGGTGATAATCATTTTGTGGTGTATTTCCACGCTTGTGAGATGCACTTTTAACCCTAGAACACTATCGCTATAAATAGTAACACGATCACTAATGCCGAGTGATTTTTACCCGATATAATATAACCAATGAAAGGTAATCAAATATATCAAAATATGACAACACATGACAAATTAGAGTGGTCTTCTTTTACTTTCAACTGTGCCATGTCTAACAAAATGAAAAATAAGACTCCTAAAACAAAATAATGACTCTGGAAAGCTGGTCTTTGGTCCACCCATTCCTGGGACATTTGAGACTTCCCTGGTGAAGGCACAGGCTCCTCGACACGCAAACAGCTGCAGGAGAGTGAAATCATATAAATGTATTTTCTCGGGTGTAAATCACCCAGCGATAGTGTTCTAGGGTTAAATATAAACTAGTTCCCAATACGTATTAGGAGTTTGATAAATGTAGTGTGTTGTTCTTAGATGTATTCAGGGACTATGAGGCTGACTATAGCGCCACCTTGAGTGCAGAAGAGGTGGAAACCCAAGCGGAGGAGGGAGGGAATAATCCAAGGGAGGCGGAGAATGAGGAGGAGGAGGAGGGTAGAGGAAAACTGTTTCTTTTACTTGGCATGCCTCCTCTTTTTCATTTGATTTTTAGCAGATAAATCCTGTTGTCCCTGTTTTCGATTTGTTTCTCTTCTGATTTTTTCTTGGTCTGTCGTTCTTTTTTTCCCTTCTTTCTCTTTCACTCTCTCTCTCTCATTGCATGAGCATGCAATTAAAGTATGGAAACCTCCTCTCCTTTTTTAGAAAGCCTTCTCGTAAAGCCATCTTAGTTACATAGTTTTTTGGGCATCATTTTTTTCCCATGCTGTCATTGTGTCTTTTTCGTCTTAGTGACCGAATAACAGAAATATAAACACGGTGCACATGGACTAATATAACACACTGACAACATCCTTCTGTTATAAATGTATTACTCGATTAGCTCTCATAATCTGTGTTACATAATGGCTTAAAATGTTAATCTGGCTGGTATGTGTGGTTTGATGACAGTTGGCGTCAGCTGCCACGAAGGCTCAGAGTAGATGCACGGAAGAAGCATGTGCAAATTTATTACATTAATCCAAACTACCTCTCCAGTCCAAGTCAGCCTGTCACATATATATGTTTTATTTTTAAAAAACACACATTTTTGACATGCTTAAATTTCAACTGCCACAATCACTAAGTGTACGAGGATATAAATATTTCTAAGAACATTTTCCGCATGCACATACAGTAATCCTGCATGTCTGTATATCTGGAAGGCATCCGTGCATGCACACATACTTGGATTTATAAGGTACTGTAAATACCTGCTAATTGTGTGTGTTGTTCTACCAGCAGGGAGGATCATGATTGCTGCCACTGCTGTCACTGTGACGGTGGGCAAGAAAACTGCACTTGCTGGAGGTAGGATGACAACTTCTGTTTTAATACACACCCTATCTGTCTCTTGCACACATGCTTCATCCCACCGCTGCCTCCCTCTTTCTCATTTCTTTTTAATCTCCTCTTACCTCTCATTGCTCTTTCAGTGTTTTCTCTGCCTCTAAATTTTCCATTTCTCTTGTAAAACACTCAACCCCTGCATATTTAAAGCATATTGTTCTCCAGTTTGCTCTCTTGCTTTTGTTCTTTTCTCCCTCGTCCGTGTCTGAATTTTCTTACATTTTCACCAAGTAAAATCAGCTTGCTGCAAAATGTATTGGTGGATTTGTTGATGACATTCGAACTTGTTGAGTGGATGTTAATTGCCTGTGGTTTGAATTATCAGCAAGACTTTGCTTTGTTTGGCTTAAGTTCTGGCCCCTTGTGACACTGATGAGTGTGTCACATTATTGCATTTGAAAAAAAAGGGAGCTGTAATTGAGTGTGTGAGTGCGTCTCATTTTGTACGTTCAGAGTCTTTGGCTTTGTTTCACTGATTCACATTTTAGCAAAAGGTTAGTGTTTGTGTGTGTGTTTGTGTGTGTTTGCCCTGGTAAGTACATCTGTGACTGATACACTCATCAGTCATAATTATCCGAGCGAAGAATCTCTGAACAAGTTTGCGTGCGTGGCTGTCAGCATTTGGTGTCTCATTACGATGACAGATAGACAGAAGCACAGTTAAACACACTGACACAAACACGCGCTTATCTGTGTTCCTCAGCTTTCCTAGAAATAATCTCAGGTGTGAAAATCTTGTTAAATTTGGAAGTGGAAAACAGGAGATAAGGGAGATATGAGAAAGAGTTTAAAATACATGTTTCAGTCTTTCTCTCAGCCTTGCCAATTGTCATTTTTTACAGTTTTTCTTTCCTTTGCTACATTCTTACTCTTGCTGCTGGTTTAGAATCCACACTGTTGCAAAAGGCTGAACTTAGACCTACAATTTGGCTTACTGAATCTATTATGGGGTTTCATTAAACCACAAGCTACAAAGGAAAGATGGATGTGAAATAATTATGATGTCTAAAAACAGTATTTGATGTGTGTACAGTATAAATGAGATATATTCCAAAAAATATGGTTATAACAACAACATTTTTTGAATTATACATTCACCAGCTTTTTCAGGTTCAACTGCTGTTCAAGTGCTCTTAAAACAATTAATTTAATTATCCAATCACATGGCTGTTACTCAGTGGTTATATTCAAGAAGACATGGTCAAGACAAAGTTCCAACTGGCTATCAGAAAGTTGATTTTTAAGTGACGTATGAAAAAAAAGAGAATATCCAAGGAGCAGCAGTCTTCTAGGTAAAAATATCATGTTGATGTCAGAGGTCAGAAGAAAATGACCAGACTTCTTTGAGATGATAGGAAAGCGACAGCAACTCAAATAATCAGGTGTGACAACCAAGGTATGCAGATGAGCACCTCGGAATGAACAACATGTCAAGCCTTCAAACTGATGGGCTACAGCAGCAGAAGACCACACTGGGTGCCATTCCTTTCAGCCAAGAACAGGAACCTGAAACTTGATCAGTAGAAGATTTGGGTTGCTTAGCCTGCCTCCATTTCTGCTGTGACGTTTTAATGGTGTGGTCAGAATTTGGCATATACAACATGAAAGCATGGATCAGTGGTTCAGTGTATCAATGGCTTTGTATCAATGGATGCTGGTGATATAATGGTGTGGGAGATATTTTCTTGGTACACTTTGGGCCCCTTAATACCAAATGAGCATTCTTTAAACACCACAGCCTACCTGAGTGTTCATGCTGACCATGCCCACCCCTTTGACCACATTGCACCCATCTTCTGATCTATTTCCAGTAGGATAATGCTATATGTTACAAAGCTCAAACCATTTCAAACTGGTTTTTGGAACAAAGCAGTCCATTCGCTGTATTCAGATGACCTCCACAGTCACTATACAGTGGCTTGCAAACTTTTCCACATTTTGTCACATTACAGCCACGCACACCCCACTTTTCAGTTATTTATTTGTAAAAAATGTTTGGAAACATGTATGATTTTCGTTCCATTTTCGTTCGTACACCACTTTGTATTGGTCTTTCACGTGGAATTCCAATAAAATTGATTCATGTTTGTGGCTGTAATGTGACAAAATGTGGAAAAGTTCAAGGGGGCCGAATACTTTTGTGAGCCAATGTATTTCAATCTAATAGTGCAGCTTTGGGATGTGGTGAAACAGGAGAGTTACATTGAGGATGTGCTGCTAACAAATCCAACCCAGTACTAGCAAGGAGTGTTTTCTGAGTAAATATAATAATCACCATTTCGTGGGCACAAAAGTTAAAGTTCATCACTAGATGCCAAGTCCATCAACTTCTCTCCAAGCTGCAGCAAACTCAGAGGGGATGGTTTTATAAACTTATTGGTATGTGTGTGTAAGGAACACATACACACACCAAGTCTCTCACAAGCACATGACTCAGTGTGTTTCACCCTTTGATGCTCCTCTTTAAATCCTCACATACATCTCTCTTTTCTTAGCCTCTGCTTTCCTAAGCTGTCAGATCTGTCTGCCTCCACATCACATTTCTCCTCTCTGTGTTTCCTTTTTCTTTTCCCTATCATGTCATTTTTTTCTCATACCCCTTTGCCCTAACTTCCTCTCTACCTTTGTTACTTACTGCAATGGAGGGTTTCTTGTCGAGAGTAACATTCACATAGCAAAATCAAATATTTAGAAGCTGCTTGGTCAAGGAACTCGAGCACATACGCTTAGAGGTGTATTCACTCCTTGTAATGCACATTACATGCTTATGCATTGTGAAGAATGAGAAAGGTAATGTAAGCACAATGAAAAGCACAGCTTGCACACATGTGCCAAAATAAAAAGACAAGCACAGAAATGTGAAGACAAATAGTTTGAACTTGTTTTTTTTCAGTTGATTGGATATATGATGACTATCTTCACTTCTGTGTTTCAAATTGCACAAATGTTTGCACCTAATAATGTTGCAAATTACACATTAACTAAAATAAATCCTAAATTCAAAATATATTTAATATTTGCATGACTTTAAGTATCTAAAAATATTGCAATTCTACGTATAACCACTGAGTGTCAGTGTTTATCTGGACAGAACACAGTCAGTTGTCTATCAGCGTCTCTGTGCATCTTGTGCTCAGCTTTCATGCTCATTTAGTGGCAGATTTAATTTCTTCTTCTTTCATGAAGGCCATGGATTTCCTGTGTCAGAGGCTGATCCAAAATCAGTGCACAGTGACTACAAAAAGACTGTGGTTATACCGTCTGAGGGCTCAGCAATGGATTAGAATATCTCTGTGGCATAAGTGACATGCTGTATATAAATAAACCTATTCCTACTGATGCAGAGGCAGACTTGGGAAAAGAGGAGGAAAGAGTGATGAGTGTGTGTAAATAAAAAAAGACAGAGACAGAGGGATAGAGCAGGCAAAGAATAAAGAGAAGACATTTTACATGGAGGAGGAGAGGAAGCACCTAATAAGGATATAAATGAGCGAGAAAAGGAGGTAAGATCAGGGTGGAGACAAAAAGGGCACACAATAGACCAGACTGAGCAAGTGATAAAGAGACAGAGATGAGAGAAAGGAAGGTGAGAAGATTAAAAAATGATAGGAGAAGAAGTGACAAAAAGATAAATTGAGACAAGAAAACTGAGAGGGGAATGGACCCAGAGAGAACAATGAAAGGTGAGAGGAAAAAGAGGGAAAAGTATGGGAAAACATATACCTATATTCAGATTAGGATTAGGATTCAAGATTATTGTCAGTACACATTTAAAAATACAGGGTAATGAAATACAGTTTGCATCTAATCAGAAGTGCAAAGAGCAGTAAGTGCAAGAAGAGCAGATTATATACAGATAAGGGCAGTGTAAAAGGTGGGAGTAGTTATGTACAGATTATGTACAAGTAAGTTAAGTATACAGATGTTTATACCACATCATCCGTGAAAAGCAGAGATGAGATTCTGAGGCCACCGAAGTGAAAGCCCTCCGCCACTTGGCTGCGCCTAGAAATCCTGTCCATAAAAATTATGAACAGAACCGGTGACAAAGGGCAGCCCTGGCGGAGCCCATCACCCACCGGGAATGAGTCTGACTTATTGCCGGCAATGCGAACCAAGATCTTGCAACGGTTGTATAGGGATTGAATGGCCCGTAGCAATGGGCCAGACACCCCATACTCCTGTAGCACCTCCCACAGGACACCCCGAGAGACGCGGTCGAATGCCTTCTCCAGGTCTACAAAACACATGTAGACTGGTTGGGCAAACTCCCAAGCTCCCTCAAGTATCCTTGAGAGGATAAAGAGCTGGTCAAGTGTTTTGCAACCAGAACGAAAACCGCATTGTTCCTCCTGAATCTGAGCTTCGACTAGCGGACGAACTCTCCTTTCCAGCACCCTGGCATAGACTTTCCCAGGGAGGCTGAGGAGTGTGATCCCCCTATAGTTGGAACACACCCTCCGGTCCCCCTTCTTAAAGATGGGGACCACCACCCCGGTTTGCCAGTCCAGGGGTACTGCCCCTGATCTCCATGTAACATTGTAGAGGCGTGTCAACCAGGACAGCCCTACAATGTCCAGACCCTTCAGGAACTCGGGGCGGACCTCATCCACACCAGGGGCTCTGCCACCAAGGAGTTGTTTAATTGCCTCAGTGACCTCGTCCCCGGAAATTGGCAAGTCATCCCCTTCATCCCCAGACTCTGCTTCCTCCTTGGAAGACATGTCAGTGGGATTAAGGAGGTCCTCGAAGTATTCCTTCCACCGCCCGACAATTTTCTCAGTTGAAGTCAGCAGCGCTCCGCCAGCACTATACACAGTGCAGGTAGAGCAAAGCTTTCCCCTGACAGTTTGCCAGAATCTCTTCGAGGCAGTCCAAAAGTCTTTTTCCATGGTCTCTCCGAACTCCTCCCACACCCGAGTTTTTGCTTCAGTCACTGCCTGAGCCGCGTTCCGCTTGGC